AAAGGGGGATGACACCACGAGGTGTTAAGCTTGCAACTAGATGATTAACTACGGAAACATCCCAGTGAAAGTCTTCCTGGATGAATAATGTCCTGCAACGAGACACCGGTGAGGATTAGCGACCCTAGCGAGGTAGCCTGAGAGCGTCCGCGTGGGCCGATGGCGCCCTCAATGGCGCCCGGTGGCCATCGCCAGTCTGCTCCTGAGCAACGCCTGCTTCTGATTAAGCCAATTAGCAAAACCCGACTCATCTCTAACGAGGCCCCTACTGGGCCAACTCCGGTTCCCGCCCAGACCCGCCTTTCCCCAAAGTGAACATTCCAAGCGCTAATTTCAGTTTTGCACAGGACAAACTTGTAGCCGCATGTGTTGTTTGTTTGTCAGACTCTGTGCGTGTGTGCGTGTGTGTGTGCGCTCGCGTGCATAGAGTACTTGTGTGTTGTTCCTCTCTTTGACCTTTTACAAAGCTGTCAAACTCACGATACGGCATTCGCAGGATACTCTGCCAACACTACCGCTAATGTGATTATGTTATTGGCATAAAACCAACTTTTTTTTTCGACATGGGAAAGCTAGAATGTCAACATTTGAGGTATGGATAGCAGTACAGTAACATCAGTGGACCTCACACTACAATAGCATGTCCTCTTTTCTTGTTTTGTTTTTTTTTTCTTATTATTATTGGCAGAAAATCATAATGAAATACTTCAGATGCTTGAGGGTTGTGTGCTTGTATTGGATTGCAAGTGAAAGCGATACGGTACATCGCGATATCCAGTGAAGTGTTATTAAGTATGACAACACATTCAAGCCTGCCATCCTCTACAACTCATATATCAATAATGTATTCTTAAATAAAATCGATACTTTTCGATATCCATCAATTGTTTTCTCGTCCTTGTGACATGAGCCTAATCACATCTGAGAACGAGCTGCTCTAATCGGCCTGGCCAGCAGTCGAGTTCTGGTTACAGTGCCATTTCTTTTCTTTTTCTTTTCCTTTTGGAACCATCAGGAAAGAGCCAAGTTCCGACTCCAATGGCTAACCAGGACAGCTGATACCTGATGCTTATGTATTTTCACCTGTCCCGAACATGTCCGAAGCAGCGAGCAGGTTTGCTGCTGGCTGCTCGATGGGCAGGCAGTCGGCGTCCACCATCCCCCCAACCCAACCACATACACGTGGACCTCACCTTTGAACCTTTACCTCTTTGCCACCGCGTCTCGAGCTGGGACATTTCCAGCCATCTCGGGCTAATTGGGTCAGATTGCAAGAAGCGGTGCATTTACCCCTGAAATTGGAACCATCTGGGGCTTGGTGTGTGTGTGTGTGTGTGTGTGTGTGTGTGTGTGTGTGTGTGTGTGTGTGCGTGCGTGCGTGTGTGTGTGTGTGTGTGTGTGTGTGCGCGCTAAAGGTTGCAATGGTGAGGTCCATTGATTGAGGAAAGGATGTCAGGAGTGGAAAACGGTCAACAAATCAAACTGGAAGAGGAGAGGATGATGGGGAGGGGATATACATTGTGGCCTCGCAATATCCAGCCTCCATTACGAGGTTTGGTCTGGATATAGCAGAGCGGGCTACTGCAGGGAGGTTGCCATAATTGATGTCGGACGGCTGACACACTTTGGCCACCTTGACAGCACCGCCATTTGCCATAATCGACATAATAGCTTGTTTCCAATTTGAGTTTCCGTTGAAGGAGGATATACCAGAAGTAACAGTGGTCGTGTGTCATTAAGTTATGCTTCACATGCATGTGTGACATCTGGACACGAGCGGGGACTCGGGTTTGGGGGCTATAACGGCGAGCGGCTCATTGCTGGGTGGCCCCTCGCCAATGCCTGTGCAGAGTTGATGTACGAGGCAGGAATAGGATCAGGTTTGTATTTATGGGGCATTTAATGACTGAATGAAAATCTGCTTGGGTTCATGAGAAATGTTGTTTTTCCCAAAACACAAATGCCACCCACCCCAAAGGGAAAAACAGGAAGTGGGTTGGTGGATTGCGGCGTCGTGTTCCAAATGAACACCATCCATCCATCCATCAATTATCCAAACCGCTTATCCTCATGCAATGTTTATATTTCCCTTATTATTTGTCATGGGAAAAGGAAATGTTTGGGTTCTTCTTTTGGTCCAAATGCAAACTAAGTTTTTGGTTTTATTCCTTCCAAGTGAAGATTTTTGAAAATTGAATGAATGTTTGTTTTAATCCATTATTAAAAGTCATTTTCGAAAACTCTAAAATTCTATATTTCCATTACAATTTAGCTTTTTTTTAAAATTTAGATTTCGAATTGTTTTTAAATATTTTCATATCATTTGCAAAAATCTAACGAGTTTGCCATTTCTAGTGGTTTGCCATTTCTTTCGCAAATACATTTATCCAATTTTCAGATTTTTTTTTTCACAATATTTTGATTTTTCATTTATTTTTCTACTTGCACATATGGTGTTCAACCTTTGTTTTTCATGACGAGGTCTGACATAGCCTCGATAAATTTAAATGTAATACAAATATTTAAACAAATATGAATTTAAATGTAAATGAGTACATGACAACCATATCATCTGACTGAATCAAACCAGTGACCAGTTTAGTGATGTAGCGCCACCTGTTGCCTTGGCAGGCACTTGACAGCCCCGCAACATGTTTGAACTGATTTTGGTTGGACTATTTGACCCCGGCACTGAGGAAAAAAAAAATTGTTTTTAGAAATAGAGGCGTGGGCGTTGACAGTAAAGCGGCTAAACTCCCCAGGGTGACGACACCGGGACGAGGAAGAGGGGGAGAACCGGCAGGCTTTTGGCTTGACACCTTTGTTTGTCCGCACTTTCCCTGTGCAAACTCTCGCTGACGTGACCCCCCCAGGCGCAAAATATCTGACAGCACGCAGGGCGAGTTCAGGCAAATACGCCACCGCCGAGAACGGCGGAAGGCTTTTGGAGGATTTGGCGTGAGTGACAGTAAACGCCGAGGAAGAGGAGGAATGCCGCGAGGGAGACACCGAGAAGAGTGGGAGTGTGCGTGTTGATGGTGAAGATCCCAGTCAGGAATTTCGGAAATCTAATTTTAGTGGCGCTACTGTGCATCCTTGAAGGGGGCCTCCACTGTCAAACACTAATACTGGCTAAAACCTTACTACAAGACCTGAAACAAGTATCGTCAACTCTTGCTTGTTGTTGTTAAAATGTTAAGATCGATAAAGCGTGGACTGTGTGATAACGAAAACTTTACTCATTTCACAACACCCATCAACATTATGACACTTTCGTGGGTTTACCTAACTATGTCTTAAAACTTATCATAGTATGGCAATCGGCCAGTATATGCTATAACCATGGGGAAATATTTACCAAAAATTAGACCGGTACCATGATCACCTGAAAATATCAAAGTCGATCCTCAATTACAATAAAGGCACAATTGAAACAATTGTCATATTTCTGAGTGCAATACGATGGCATCCAGCACACATCTGTCTTCAATCTGTCTGCCTGCGCTTTGATCATATCCACAAAACTCGCATTACAGCACCTGCGCCACAACTTAGACTTGCTTTTAGCTGGTCTAAGATCTAGTCCGTTTTCTGTAACCAAATTGTCAAGTGTAGTAGAAAACGCCCTCAGTTCGCCAAATGCCCAAACACGGTAAACTAGACTTGCCCTGCCACAAAAATCAAAATGCGCCACTTGTTACGGCAATTTACAATTCACAAATCGGGGATTAGGGTTTACTGTCGTCCTCTTAATAGCAAAGACTTGTGTGACTTTGAAAGCTAACACAAGAATATTGTGTATGAAATGCTACACTGTGATACAAAGTTGACAAAAATTCCCAAATTCCTCCTCAAATGATTAAAGAATCAAAAGTGAAGCAGAAGAAACCCAAGACGAATGTTAATAATCATCTCGTTTGCTGTTGACAGATGAATGATTTAAGTTGTCAGAACAACGTTGCAACCTGCAAATCTCCTTTTCGAAGAAATATGACACATTACCCCCCCCCCACACACACACACACAATTTAAACCACTTCCGAGGTGTCTTAATAACCTGTCTGTAACATGCTTTGTCAAACTATCCCAAGAAAAATTAATGACAACACAATTACACAGTCTAGCATTGCCTTGTTGAAAAGTGTTTTAACCTGGGGCAAATGTACAGTGTACCTTTTGTTACCATGACAACAAGAGGCAAAGCTGGAGAATGGCCACTTGTTGAGCACCAGGTCTATAAAAGAAAAGTGACCGCGAACTTGGAAGCCCTAACAAAAACAGCATGGACTGTATTTTCACTGGTGGAGGCAGCACTTCATGCTCAAACGCTTAACTTAGTCTGCAAGTCTGCGTGTGCACAAATATCACCCTTTGTTCACTTCAGATTCGGATGGATTTGAGAATTAAGTATACAAGTCAGGTATCTACATCATACTTGCATGAATATGACATTTCATGCGACGGCTTTTAGAGCACGCTTTGATTTTGACCGAGTGGAACGCAAAGGTGAGCGAGCGTTTTTAACATGGGCAGGTCATGCCAAACGTCTTTTGAGGATGCGCTGTCCCGCTGTCGGTGTCCGTGTCTTCTCCCATCCACGAAAGCCTTTCATGGGCGCGCTCCGAGGGCCGTCCCAGTAACACGAGCCTGGCAACCTTTTGTGCCCATTCTTCTGCTTATCCTTTCATCTCTTTCAAGAGCGAAAGGCTGGCCGAGATGGAAACCACCACTCGTTGTACGTGGGGTGGGGTGGGGGGGCGGTGGGGTGGCAAGAGATAGCCGTCGGACGAGAGAAATGGAGGGGGCTGGGGGACATTGGGGTTTGTGATTGCGGGGGAGGTTTGAGGCTCATCCCGCAATTTATGGCCGTGCTTTTCAACAAGACCATTCAAGGTGGAGAGGCCCAGTGGTCAAAAGCGCTGAACTTCCCACTACCCCCACCACTCCAGTCCTCTGTGTGTGTGTGTGTGTGTGTGTGTGTGTGTGTGTGTGTGTGTGTGTGTGTGTGTGTGTGTGTGTGTGTGTGTGTATATGATGGGATCACTTATCTGAGGTGAGGACCCCGGGAAGCGTCTGGGCGTGAGACATCGTGTACCCTGGAGTTAGATCCTTGTCGCCACTGGTGGGGGGGGGGAAATATATATATATATATTTTAGAGGGGAAAAGTTGTATTCATACACATTTTTCTTTTAATTCATATTTTCAGATGAAAAGTCACATTTTGGGGGGTTGGAGTTTTAATCTTTAAAAAAAAATTCAATAAAAAATGTAAGAAGAACATTTGCTTTTAAAAAAAAGTATTCCATTTTGAGGGAAAATCTTTTGTTTTTCAAGGAAAAAAAGTCATTTTTTAAATCATATTTCTTTTGAGAAAAAAGATTTGGTTTTTTGAAATTGTCGTATTTTTTATGATAAAGTCATAGTTGTTCAAAATTGTTTAGTTTAAAAAATTCATTTTTAACTCACATTTTGAGTTTGAAGAAAATAAAATACTTTTTTTTAAAATACAAAGTCATTTCAGAGAATAAGCGAAATGTTAATTTTTTTAATTAAAAAGTACGACTTTGAGAAAAAGTCAAAACATTTTCAATTCAAGGTTATTTGTTGAAAAAGACTTCTTAAAACTCAACCGGTCTGTTTTCTAGGGGGGGGAAAAATTGTATTCATTCGGAAAAAACAAGCTTTTTTAAGAAAGAAAAAAAGATGTCATTTTGGAGATTAAAAAAAAGTCCGATTTTTTTAAGTGAAAATTTGAGAGGGGAAAAAGTCAACATTTTGGAGAGGAAAAATTTTGTAGTACACATGTAGGTCACATGTGTGAAGCAGCTAAGCGCAAGCAGGGCAAGTCAAGACAAGGTCGACCTTACGTCGGGAAGACAACGCATGTCTCGGCTTCTTGGATCACTGCAACGACTTGAACACTACAACATTTTTATGAATGTTTGTGTGCACTACAAACACACCACAAAATCATTTCCATGGTATCCAGTTCAATATTCCGATGTGATGATGCAACGTCACAAGAAGAAGCCCTGGAACGAGATCAGTACTTCTGTTTGCGCTGCGCCTGTGGTGATATCCAATCACCCAACCTTCCTCGCTTCGAGAACGACCAAAATACAACGCCAACGACATTGTCACAAGCTGTTGCATAATGTAAATCTTCCTTCTTGGCAGAACATTCGTCTTCCCGACGGCGCTACATTCTCCCAAAACCAACAAGTTGCCTTGTGATGGACGGCTGTCTGGCCTCCAGTTAGAGGAGATTAGTCACTTGGATGTCCAAGTTATTTGAAAACTTTGTGAGTTAGCATTGCAAATTAAAAAAAACAAGTAAAAAAAAAAAGTCAATTGAATATTTATGACAGCCTTGGGATCTCATGTGAAATGTTGGCAAGACGTCATTAAGATGGGCTCTCTTTTCCTCTATTAAGCTATAAAACATATTGAAACTTCACACACCCCTATTTTTATGATTAAAAAAAATCAAACTCAGATAAATCATCTCAAAACATTTTCCAAAGTTACCAATAACCTGCACAACAAAATAACATATTTTCAGATGAAAAGTCACATTTTGGGGGGTTGGAGTTTTAATCTTTAAAAAAAAATTCAATAAAAAATGTAAGAAGAACATTTGCTTTTAAAAAAAAGTATTCCATTTTGAGGGAAAATCTTTTGTTTTTCAAGGAAAAAAAGTCATTTTTTAAATCATATTTCTTTTGAGAAAAAAGATTTGGTTTTTTGAAATTGTCGTATTTTTTATGATAAAGTCATAGTTGTTCAAAATTGTTTAGTTTAAAAAATTCATTTTTAACTCACATTTTGAGTTTGAAGAAAATAAAATACTTTTTTTAAAAATACAAAGTCATTTCAGAGAATAAGCGAAATGTTAATTTTTTTAATTAAAAAGTACGACTTTGAGAAAAAGTCAAAACATTTTCAATTCAAGGTTATTTGTTGAAAAAGACTTCTTAAAACTCAACCGGTCTGTTTTCTAGGGGGGGGAAAAATTGTATTCATTCGGAAAAAACAAGCTTTTTTAAGAAAGAAAAAAAGATGTCATTTTGGAGATTAAAAAAAAGTCCGATTTTTTTAAGTGAAAATTTGAGAGGGGAAAAAGTCAACATTTTGGAGAGGAAAAATTTTGTAGTACACATGTAGGTCACATGTGTGAAGCAGCTAAGCGCAAGCAGGGCAAGTCAAGACAAGGTCGACCTTACGTCGGGAAGACAACGCATGTCTCGGCTTCTTGGATCACTGCAACGACTTGAACACTACAACATTTTTATGAATGTTTGTGTGCACTACAAACACACCACAAAATCATTTCCATGGTATCCAGTTCAATATTCCGATGTGATGATGCAACGTCACAAGAAGAAGCCCTGGAACGAGATCAGTACTTCTGTTTGCGCTGCGCCTGTGGTGATATCCAATCACCCAACCTTCCTCGCTTCGAGAACGACCAAAATACAACGCCAACGACATTGTCACAAGCTGTTGCATAATGTAAATCTTCCTTCTTGGCAGAACATTCGTCTTCCCGACGGCGCTACATTCTCCCAAAACCAACAAGTTGCCTTGTGATGGACGGCTGTCTGGCCTCCAGTTAGAGGAGATTAGTCACTTGGATGTCCAAGTTATTTGAAAACTTTGTGAGTTAGCATTGCAAATTAAAAAAAACAAGTAAAAAAAAAAAGTCAATTGAATGATTTATGACAGCCTTGGGATCTCATGTGAAATGTTGGCAAGACGTCATTAAGATGGGCTCTCTTTTCCTCTATTAAGCTATAAAACATATTGAAACTTCACACACCCCTATTTTTATGATTAAAAAAAATCAAACTCAGATAAATCATCTCAAAACATTTTCCAAAGTTACCAATAACCTGCACAACAAAATAAAAAAGGGGTGGGGGTCGTTTTGAGAGAGAAAGGAATTAAAAATAAACTGATATTATGTGAGATTATGTGATCGCAAAAGTGTGCAGCGCCTCATACTGGGGTTGTGGTTTCATTCAGAATTAACCAATGTCATTCAAACTTATTTAAGTAAAACGGGAGTCAGTAAAAACCTTCCACCATTTGAAGTACCTTTGGTTAACCGCAAATAAAATTCAGCTGTTCTAGAAGGCTGTTGCTGATGTTTTGTTTTGCTTTCTAGCAGAAGTTTGAAAGTTTTAACCGGTTCTTTCTCTGAATATTTGGCTCACTGTTACATCAGGGTGGGAAGAAAATGCACATTTTCGAGCACAGACACATGTTCAGGAATAGTTTTTAATCTCATGATAGAATCATTTAATGACCCGGAATCAATTACTTTAGCTCAAACAGCATTGACTTGAACCTACAATAGCCTCAAGGCTAGTTAGTGGTTAGCATGATGGGAGTCGGTTGCCATTCCGTGCAGTAAATTAAAAAATTAATAAATCCTACATTTCTGACAAGTACATTTGCTTAATAATACCATAACAACAATTGACGGAAGATATAATTAAAATGAAACCGTTGAAAAGGGAGATAGATACTGTAAGTAGGCTACAGTATGTAACATGCATTTTGTACTGCTGCTAAGAATGAAAACTTAACTTCACCAAACACGGACGTGTTGACTGAGTGGAGATCGGCTCATCTGATTCGTGAAGGCCACAATCTCTGTCTTCCTTGAGAAATCTTCTGTCTTCTCACCCCGATTCCAAACTGGTGCCGGAAAACGGTGACATGAGAAGTTGTCTCTCCCACCTGTATTATAGCAGCCAAATGGGGCACAGTAATTGACACTTTTTGACATTGACTAGCAAATCAATTCAAAGGCTTAATGACCACCGCAGCAAAACGTGTCGACCTCCAGCATTACAGCAGCGGCCAGAGGTGCGCTGATGTCACCTGGATGTACAATGTCACACTTGGCAGATGCTCCATACGGTATTTACATATGGATCTTAAAAATTTACAAACGATGTCCCCCTTCAACAAATAGTAGCCATTTTGTTGAGTGAACATCACTGCTTGATTCTACTCAACTTCCCTTACTTTTTTAAAGCAAAATGATCACACTACAACCAAATAGTGTGTAGATGTTACAAATATAGCTCACTGGGAAAGGAAAAGGGACGAACGTTTTGGTAAATTCACCTTATGCAGCATTTCGTCGTCACTCACTGTAACACTGTGTTTGTAAGTATTTGCCTTGCTCCCAACTTGTTAAAATCCCCACTGACCTGGATGCAGGCCAATGTTGCTGCTGCCTTTTAAGTTAATTGTTTTCTAATAAAATGTGGGCGGAGAAGAAATCTACTTGGCGGGCGTGGGGGAGTAAAAACGAGTAAACTATTTTGACTCACGCAATCTGAGCTTGTCAAAACGCCTCAGCTGCTAGCAAACAACATGGCGGTCCATTGCTGCTTTCTATTAATTAAGGGGAAATACGTCCTATTTAAACCGTCTACTCACTCTGTTTTTCACATGTGTAACTTGTTGAGTTTTGCCCTGTGTCTTCCAACAAGTAACATCTTGAAAACGTCGTTTTTTATTAAACAAGACCAAATCGAGCAGTAATTACATATGGCAAGCTCGCAAAGATACATACCGGAAAAGAGTAAAATAAAAGCTCGAGTCAAACTGGTGGATTATATTTTGTTGGTTTCGGTTCAACGATCGGTTTTAAACATTACAACTAACGTAAAAAACAATTAAAGAGAGTAAAGTTAACACCTGGTCGTGTTTCATGCTCATACTTTCATTTTGACAGACATGCCCGGATGTTATGTGTTCGGCAAGTGCTAACTTGCTGAAGACCGACTTGACTTTTTGCGCGTTGCTTGAGCAGCCAGGCGGAGTTGCGGAGCTTTTTCCAGCATTTTGGCAAACTTGTGCAGCTCGCCACCGCGCATTTTTGAAGTGAGGAATGTTTTCATCTTTGGCCTTCTTTGGAGAGGCATTGAGGCGCCGGAATTCTGTCACGCCGCCTTGGCTTTGCTTTGCTTTTCGAGGCTAATTGAGCACTTTGTCTCCCGTCACTTTGGTTGGTGCGCCCTCGATAGCAGGCGGATTTTTCCCCACTTTCTTTTCCTCCCGTACACCACACTGGATTTTTTTTTTTTTTTTTACATTCTGGGATTCTCGTGAGATGTCGTGGACTTTACAAAGGAACAAAGATATGTGCGCGTGTGTGTGATAGAGAGTGTTTTTTGACTCCCTCCGCCCCAAACCAATTGAGCGACTGACCGGGGACAGGACTTGGGAATCAATGCGGTGTCAGCTGGTAGGACGCGGGGTCCGGATCTCACCTCAACGGTATGGATGTTTCAACGTTTAAACGCTTTTTCTTTCAACCCATCATTTAAAGATTCAAGGCGTTTATTTTTATGCGCATGCTGTACTAGGAAAACAAATCTTAAACATCCAAAGACTCCCTTGACAAAAATAAAAAAAGATCAATAAAAGAAGGCAAAAAAATGTAATCAGATGTCTGCTTTACTACAAGAGACGCGGTAGGGAACTTCAAACTTAATTTTATTTATTGCTAAAGTTTATAATTTAATGCGATGACGTTTATTGTGCAACTTTGAGCACATATCAAAGCAATTATGACAAAAAAGGCCAAAGCGTTCTGTAAAAGTACAAATATGTCGCCAAGGAGAGAAATGACATGTGATTACAGTTTTATTGTGTTATTTCTGGAACTTTCTGTTTCCAGCTGTTTGGTCGGGTGACATTTTTTTAAGTTGCAGCAGAAGGTGGTGACATTTTCGGCTCAACACCCAAATTCCTAGCATGTTTTTGGGTGTAATTGGCGCACGCAAACGCATCGCAGGGAAGCGTAAAGCTTAGTTGAATGCCAGATGACTTTCTTCTGGTGAACTGTCACGTAAGTGGACATATTTTGTGAGACTTGAGAGAAATGCTTGATTAGGGTTCGTAGTGCTGTGATTTTAGGACGAACCTGTGACATCATCATTTGTCATCTGGCATTGTAAAATTGGGAATCCACCCAAAACATTTCGAGGGAAAACATACCACTGGAGTCATCGTGCAAGAATTCACAAGACTAAGGAATTCCCCATTTTCTGTGAATTTTTCATAGATTCGCTGGTGGCGAATCCTTGAAATGATCATCAAATATGACGCGGTGCTCTGCCCACATTGAATGGGGTGATAAAAAAAAGTTACTATTGTACCGTTGCCCATCTTTTGAGGGCAGCGGCTTCTGATTTAAACATGAGACATTTTTGTGAGTCCTGTTATATTAAATATAGTTTTGTGTGGATTCATGAAACTGTTTTCCCCCCTAACTTTCCAGGGGGCAGTAATGAGTATATTTGGCCAAAATGGCTGACTTCCTGTTCACTGTCAGAAATGGGTTCTTGAGACTTTTTTCCTGTGTCGTTTTATGAAAGATGTGCACCAAATTTTGGGTCAATTAGTGGAACTGGTAGAGGGGGCTGATTTTTTTTTCTTTCCAACTTTCCAGGGACTCCATCCATCCATCCATTTTCTAATCCGATACGAAGTTTTCAAATTTGCTTGACTGGCCAAATGAACCTAAAACTGGCTACTTCATCCCAACTGGTGTCAGGGGCGTGTTTTCTTTCTACCTTTAATGAGGCTCTCTTGAGGGAGTTGGAGCAAAATGTCCAACTTCCTGTTCCATTTCAGCCTTGGGTCCATAAGTTTTTTTTTGGGTGCACTGTCATGATAGCGACTGAAAAATCCGCCTCGTAAGTCATACAAGATGTATGCATGACGACAGTGTATACCTTGTACAGCTCAGTTCTCTTCTTCTTCAGTAACACAAGTTACGTAAACTGAAGTCTGATGGCCCACAAGTCAGAAACTGAAGAATTTGACACGGATTGTCAGGAATAATCCGCCTCTAAAGTCACTTGAACCTCTTTAGAGGCAATTATTCCAAAAGGAGCAGCCGTGAAGAGCTGAAAGCTGAACTCGCCCTGACATCAAACAATAAAAGGATGAAATAACCATGTTTAACTTTTTTGTGGCTCAAAAGTGCATCCGCGTCGTCGCTTCTTGTCAAAGTTAAGTTTTTAATCATTTTTTTTAACATCTACTGTTCGATGCTTCTTTTCACAAATACACCTTTCTTAAAGCTGAGGATTGAGTTTTTTTTTTTAAACGATATACAATTAACTTATTTTCCAACATTTAAGAAGGTTACTTCTTAAAGTACCTGTTACACTGTGTGTCAAACTGACCTACAAAACAAAAAAGAAAAAAAAACACAAAAATGTTTTAGGATAAAAAGTCTTCTGCTGGCCTTACTTTTTTTTGTGACTTTTTATTACGTAGGTTTACTGTATTTTACTTTTTTTGCCATTGGGCTAAAAAGGTGGCAGAAATGTATTGTTACTTTCTTTGCAAATGTACAGTCAATGCCACGATATTTCATACACACTCACACCCACTTCTTATTTCAGCCCCACTTGAACAGGAAGCATGAAACACACGTTTCATCTCTCCAACGTGAATGTCAGTTCAGTTGAAGGAAAATATAAATGAAACACAAGTGCCTCAATCAATCAATCAGTCATGAATCTTCTTGAGAGCACTTCATTATTCATTAGGTGCACCATCGAGAAAGTTGGCTCCCTGCCTTCCTGTGTGGAGTTTGCATGTTCTCCCCGTGCCGACGTGGGTTTTTCTCCGGGTACTCTGGTTTCCTCCCACATTGCCAAAACATCCACGGCAGGCTGATTGAACACTCAAAATTGTCCCTAGATATGGATGTGAGCATGGATAGTTGTTCGTCTCTGTGTGCCCTGCGATTGGCTGGCAACCAGTTCAGGGTGTTTCCCGCCTACTGCCCGACGACGGCTGGGATAGGCTCCTGCATGCCCTGCGACCCTTGTGAGGATAAAGCGGATTAGAAAATGGATGGATGGATATAGCGAGAGATTTAATTTTATGGATTTTTTTTTTTTTTTTTTTTTTGCACAAGACATATTTTTTTATTAGTTTTTTGTAACTAGTGCCCTTTTCGAACAGTGGCTTTATATTATATATTTTTAAAAGACTTTTTTCATTATTGTCACAAATTTGACTCAAACATGCATTGATTCCATTAGTTAATATCATCATTAAAATAAAATTGAAAAATGGCGAACGCTGATTGCTATAATGTCATGGGAACGCACGGATTTGAGTTCATAGGTCACCCTGCTTCTTTGATTTTTGCGTGACGAGTGGAGGTGGGGGGGGCGTGTTTGTTTACCCTCCCATTTGGAAACATGTTAGCATTACCGCACACACACGCACTGCGGAGGGTCTTTGTTGAGGCGTGCACCAGCCAAGCGTGTGATGGGAGCAAATGGAGCACGGTGATCATCAAGTGTTGAGCAAGACCTGCAAAAAACACTCAGTGTGACACACACACACAAATACACGATATGTCATAATCCATGTGCGTCAACACACCTGACTGCAGTAGATACACACACAGTTAATGATGGAGGATTGCCAAAAGCAAAATGCTACCAGTTTGAAATTGTGTTTTTTGGAATGTACAATCAATGAAAAACAGAAGGAAGGCAATCAGCTTACCCGATGATCCGATGAGAACGGTCACGTCCGAGCCTCAAACGCCAACATTTTATCCCTTATATCCAAACTTCCAACGGAAGGGTGGACATTTGTAGGCATGATCAAAACTCTCGGAACAATGATGTCAAGTGAACATCACTGGCAGTCATCATCAATGAAGGAGCTTTATTGGCGGGCCTCAACACAGGAAGTTGATGCTACGTTTCATCAGCAGGGTGGGGTTGACAGAAGACTTTTTGAAGTCCCGTCAACGCGATGACTTTTCCCCCCTTCTCACACACCCGCTCCCTCACTGACAAAACCTTCGTGTACACGCACATCTTCACCAGACGCACTCCCCGAGAGGTATTACTTTGCTTTGAGGTGACCTTAAAGGAGCCTCGCCAGCAACGCTGCATCACCGACATTCTCGTATTTCCGCCTTAAGAAAAAAAAAAAAAAAAAAAACAACCAAAAAAATCCTTTAAGATGGCGTCCTCCCCGCTTGTAGGCGGTGGTGGCATCCTGGCCGTGCTTTCTCACTGACTCATGCTCACGCCATCATCTTGACTCATGACTTTTATCTCTGTGATGTCATGTGGCAAAGGTGCTTGGAGGGAGTGTCTTGTTTGTTGAGAGTTGTGTGTGAGTGGGTGAGAGTGCACGTGCATGTCAGCGAGGTTGTGAGAGTGGACATGCGTGTCAGAGAGAGTGGAGAGTGTATGTCAGTGATAGACTGGGTGTGATTGCTTGTTTCAGGGTTGGAATAGTTTGGGATTTTTCATTCAAGTTTTTAGTTTTTTTTCATATAGAGCAGGTTTATTAGATTTTATTTTTATTTTTTTTAATGTTTGGTTTTTATGATCTTGTATCTATATTTTTTTAATCTGGATTATTTGTCAAGTGTGAGGACAAAAAAAAAAGGTCATCAACTACTGCAAAATATAAGGTAAACTCCAATTCTCAAACGACTGTTTGACCTTCCTCCTTTGTTACGGACGTACAATTATGAAAGGGATACATTTCAAATAAACCCCTTGACTCCTGACTTGCATCTCCATGATGTGACGCATGGAATGTGTTTGTCGGGTGGGCGTGTCTTATTTGACTTGTCACCCACATCACCTGGCTAATCGCGTCGAGATTGACGTTTCCTTTCGCCAGCTGCGCCAAGGGCGAAGGAGCGAGCGCAGCGGGGTCTTACAAGTGTCAACCGAAGTGGCTTTAAGGTACAAACAACACGTCTGGAATGTTGTCAAAGTGAACTGGAATTGGAGAGATTGTAACAGTTTGGCATAGCGCAGCACAGATGCCTCCGCTGCTTGACAGGTGGTGCGGGTTGTGCTCAAGACATTATCCGCTGACCTTGTTATTTTACTTTATTTCCAAGTTTAAAAAAAAATGTTCTTGGCTCCTTAAAAGACAATCTATACAATTTACGAATATTACTACTTCGGGCAAGTGGGAATATAAATCAGTTGTACACTTAACGTTTCATGCTGGAAAAGCTTAAAAACTGATCTTGACTGTCAATTGAGCTTTTGGTGTTAGTGTCAATGAATGACGATCAAAGCAACAAACGGATGCACGTGCGTGTTTCCTTGGTCACTTTGAGATTTTTCAGTTTTGAACCTGCGCACATTCCGATGGCCTTTCTGAGTGTGTGCGCGCGTGTTGTGTGTGAGAATATGTTCGTCTTAAGTGTGCGTGAGAGATTGTGAGTGTGTGTCTGTGTGTGTGCGTGTGTGTAGGATCTCTATCTGAAGGAAGCGGAGGACGACCTTGTGGTACTCTGGAGTTTTTTTTCCACAGGTTGTGCCAAGTTTTGAAGGCCCCTGCTTGCTTGAGCTCATAAAGTTGCGTTCCTCCCGTAAACTCTACCCGTTTTACATCTTAATTGACCCACTTACCCTAACGAGATCAAGCGCATTCCTCAACTGACTCTCTCTCCTGCTGTCTTTCTCGCTCGCCCAGTTGATACGTCCTGGGAGTGATGCACTGGCTTCCCCTGGTTGCCATGGTGATCGCCTCGGCCCTGCCCTTCCCTCAAAAGCCTGCGTCAAGGATCGCCTCCGCCGCCAGCGTGGACGATGAGCGGCGTCGCTTCGCCGTGGATTACAACTCCCAGGGGAATGCCTCGCTAACGTATGACAACGCCCCCGCCGTTCAGGACCCCATCCGGAACTCGGCGGAACCGAGCGTTGTTCCGAGTGGAAAGAACCGCAGTCGACCAGACCACAGCGGTTTCCTGGACTCCACGAATGGACCCACGCAAGTCTCTGAAGTGGAAACACAGATAATCCAACCTCCTGCATCCGCTGGACTGAGGACTCAGAGAGGATCCGCAACCACCGTTCCCACGGAGCAGCTTCGGAACGCGTCGAGGAGGGGGCCCGCGGCGAGGGGTGCAACACCGACGCCCGCAAGCGGTGCGGTCAACACCACCCCGGAGGCGGGGTTGGGCATCCTGGAAGGTCTCCTGGAAGGGGACGAGATGTTTTTGGACGCTCACCCGCGGGTCCTGTTCTCGTCGTCGCCCCCGGAGCACCCGCCCCTCATGCTCATGCTGGAGGTCGGCCTCCTGGAGGACGACGCGGTGGAACTGGAAGACGCCCACGCGGAGGGTCACGCTGATCAGAGCCTCAGTTGGGGCAACGTTTCGGGATTCGCGTCTGACGCGGGCCGCGCCCACAGGAGGGACAAACGCTCGCATTTGATGGATCGCCGTCGGGGCGAGAAGTCTGTCTGCGAGGCGGAGAGCGTCTGGGTAACGGACAAGAAGACGGCCGTCGACTCGCGTGGCCAGGTGGTCACCGTCCTGCAGGACATTCAGACCCAGACGGGTCCGCTTAAGCAGTACTTCTATGAGACCCGGTGCCGCCAGGCCGAGCAGCAGAAGAGCCACGGGACTGCCGGCCACGGCACTGCCGGCAGGGAGGCGTCGCAGCCCACCGGGGTGGCGGGCGCCGGCTGCCTAGGCGTGGACAAGAAGCAGTGGGTGAGCGAGTGCAAGGCCAAGAAGTCTTACGTGCGCGCCCTCACCAAGGATGCCAACAACCGGACGGGGTGGAGGTGGATCCGCATCGACTCGTCCTGCGTTTGCGTGCTGCTCTCCAGAGCCAATCAGATCCTGGCCCGCGAAGCGCTAGCCCGGAGGGGGCGGGGATAACCGCATGACACCTCAAAGACCTCATGCCAGAACACAGTATATAGAGATGTTTTTCTACGATTTATCTTTCATAACCTAAGTTATTAGTACGTAAGCATGTGTATGATTTTGATATTAATATATTCCTTCACCGGTCATTGTGTACGTACAGTGCTTAACGAACACCGTATTACAATAGCCATCACGATCGTCAGTCAGAAACGTAAGCACAATTTTTTCGTTCCAGAATTTAAGGAAATCACAATCACGAATTTATGAACAAAAAGGTTGGAATTTTACAATTACAATAATTTTATGCGGAATAAACTAAAATTTTTTGATGGATTTACATATGTAAACATCAGATAAACGGACTAAGATTAAAAAAAATGTAACTGGAACAAATATGCAATTTTAAAATAATAAATGTGCAAATATACAGGTTGCTTTTATACTCTGTACAAGTTATAAGTCAAACTTTTACAGACTAAAGTCATGTCAGCAGAAAATGTCATTTTTACATCTCTTTTTTCATGAGAAAAAAAGTTTAAGTACAACCAGTAAAAGTCGATTTGAAAATATTAGAAAATTGTCACTATTTTACGAGACAAAGCGGAAACCTATTAAAATGGCAGATTTTTGCATGAGAAATTGTCATTATATGACCTAATTGTAATTTTAAAAAGAATGTCATACTTTACAAGAATTATTCAAGAGAAAAAAAAATCATATTACAGTACATGCAAATTTGTATTTTTCTACATCCCCCCCCCCCCCCCCACCCCTCCCTTTCTTTACCACTCATCACT